TTCAAATAATGTATTCTCACCCCATACAATTGTGCATGGCGTATTAATGGATGCCAAAACGCTTCGTTTAAGAGCCATGGTCGATACTTTTACCACCAAATTTGTACTGTGCGCGCGCCGTGTGTGTATGTGTATGTGTATGGGGGGGGGGGTCTGACGTCAGTGGTCAGTGATTCAGTTTAAAATACTCATTTGGTCTATATATACGGCATATATATCTGATATATGAGAAATCCATGTTGAAAAATTTGCAGAAATTTTAAGTTAGAGAGATGGGTTCATTGCCAATAGTGCTAGCAAATTTATTGACAGCATATTATTTTACTATAAGTAATTTTCCTTAGACTTTAGTATTTTATGTATTTTCTTTTGTCTCGTGTGCGTACTTGTGTTTTATTATATTTAATGTCTTTTGACCACAGATAATGTAACAACATATATTATTTAGTGTCAAATAAATATACTACTAGTAACCTGCATTGGGGTCGCTATAATCCACGATTATCACCTGGTCTTTGACCCTTAGAGACATTCGCATGTAAATGTGTGTAAGGGACTGAACATTAATTTGTTGTGAACAGGGCGTCGAAGAAGGGGGGTTACGGCGAACGTCCCGCTTTATTCACACAGGCAGTCAGCCGAGGTAACCCCTCGCTGCACCGTTCTTTTGCTCTCCTCCCTCTTACAAAAGTATACCAACTCTATATTAAAAGTAAAATCTCTAAAACAAATTACCGAGGGGCTTTTAGTTAGTCCAACAACTGTTAGATGTGAAAATAATAATGGTTTACAAATGTCACCATCAACAATTCAAATTATATGAGGTTATTACGAGACAGTACAACGGAAGTATCGACCGACGCAACCGAGTACTGTCTGAGTGCATACTTTTTGGTATCCTCGTAATAACCTTATGATTATACATATTTTCCTACCGAGGGTACATCATGGGAATGCCGAAATACAACAAGTTTACAACAGATTGAGCGAACTTCTTTGTATGGGATCCGACCAAACCCTGGGGCTGTTTTTATTATTAGAGAACATTTACGCGCGTAATCGTTCCATATTTGGAATTCGCATTTCCTAATATGGTAGGATGAGAATATCATGTAGAATACCGCAAAATTACGGCACGCTATAACTTATGGCGTTACGGTGACAGATGTATAACAATATTATGTACAAGTCATTGTAAAAGTCAGAATATTTGGGACGATCTATCAGATAAACATAAAATATGCACAGGACCATGAAATGTGGAATCTTTACAGATACAGAAGATAACCATCTAGCAAGAATCGTTTGACAAATTATTAGACTATTGTAGCAAAAAACAATATGGTTTTAATGACAAAATGACAGAAATATAATTATACATGGAGAAAGAAAGGTCACCGTGGTCTGTTGTAAGCCATTTTGACAAAAACTAACGTAGCAATAGGAAACATGTCGAATACATTGTTTAATTAGCTCTTAAGCTTATATTGAACTTTACTTTTACATTATTTTATTGACAAAATAACTATTAATTACAACCATATAGTCTTGTATCTGTGACTAGAATACTAATATGTTTTAGCTCCGCTACCATCCAAGATGACACAGTATCGGAAAGTACTAAAATTGCTCCGACACCGGTTATGACTTCAATCCTTTGGGTGGGCAATAAATCGTGATAATGCCTTCACTAACATGTGTCGAATATAAACAGTCATAACATGATGTGATGTGCCTAAGACTGTGCGACATAAAACACAGTATTTTTATTATTATAAACCAAACAAAACTAGGTCATAATGTTTTCCCCATGTTACCTTTCAAGGATTGTAAGAATTCGATCCTAGCGATAACACAATATTATTAATTTTGTTTACAGACATAGTGCTGCATCAGTAGTTTATTTCACATTGTTATATTCATAACGCTAATCTAATGAATATTGAGATTCTAGTTCAACCATGGCAGGAAAACCAGGTATGTCCTATATATTGAAACAATACATAGTTTGAGTGTATCTCAGTGACTAGATTTCCTTTGGTACACTTTAAAAATGTTATGCATGGATTTCATATAATCTTTTAAACTACAAAAAACATAAATTATTTTTTTTAAATAATAGCCAATTACATTAAACACGTTTTAGTCCTCATTAACTATGGAAATGTTGATGTATTAGTTGTATCTTAATAATATTAATGATAATGCTTGTTGTTATCTAGTCTACATGAGAGGTATTTCGTCATTGAATTCATATGTTGCTGCCATGAAAAATATCCCGTACAAATCTATGAAGACATTCGCAAGACAACTAGGATTGGAAGAAAATGAAATAAATGAGATTGAACGAAAGTGTATTAATCAGGATATGACTGGGTTGCAGTTTGAGACATATACAACCTGGAAAACAAAATATGGAAGAAAAGCAAAAGCTGAAGTCTTTGCTAAAGCACTGCATGACATCGGGTATACAGCAGATGCTGAGGACCTCTTGGAAATGGAAGGCAAATAATTTATTTATTTATTTATTTATTTATTTATTTATTTATTTATTTATTTATTTATTTATTTATTTATTTATTTATTTATTTATTTATTTATTTATTTATTTATTTATTTATTTATTTATTTATTTATTTATTTATTTATTTATTTATTTATTTATTTATTTATTTAGCGAATTCTTCAAACAATGGAACTACACCTAAGACAAGCAATGGAACTACACCTAAGACAAGTGAACAGTTAAAGGAAATGCAATGTAACTACCATTTCAACAAATCATGCCCTGGAACGTGGATAGTTACAGTGGGGATAGTCGCAATAATAGCAATGATCATTGTATTCAATGGCTCTCTATATTACTCCATCATCTTTGCTTTTATTGGTTTTGCCAGCATAGTTGTTATGTTCGTTCACAAACCTGTGGCTTTGACAAATTCCAGATTACAAACAGGTATTTATTTATTTATTTATTTATT